GGATAAGATAGAGGGTGCCATGGACCGTTTTTAAAATCAACTGCGAAATTTTTAGAGCATTTTGGCATCTGCAACTAAGATGAAGTGGCCACATTCTACGGATCGACAACTGACGTAAGATGATCCCCAGCAAGTGAGACAGAGAGAGAGAGAGTAAGAAAGTGCCCAAGCGGATTCTGCCGGAATGGCGCTAATTGTTCTGTAAACAAGAGGGGTCACCTCCGACTCCGCGATATCTAACGTCTAGAGTGTGGGTGAGACATACCTCAACTCGACTCGGGTGAGGGCGCGAGGAGTTGGTCATGAAATCCCTTGACATGCGTAGGTAGCCACAATTAATTTGGAATAAGACTCTGCATTACATTTCGCGAGTGATGTGTATTGGTTTCATCAGGGCTAGATACACTACAAACCAAAGGTACTTTAAGAATTGCATATCATATAGCCCTAGTTGTAACACATTCTCCATCGAAAATGGTGGCTATAGAGAGTTTTGGCGGGTGGGGAAATGGGATAGGCCGTGAACAATTTTTTTAAAGAAGTAAGTGGGAAGTGGAAAAATATGGTTGAGTTTCTTTTCCACGGCCGCTGGGAGGTAGTTGTTGCATATGTAAACTAAAGGTAAACGGGGCGCTTCGCACCGCGGGCTATACTAATCCAACTCAAAAGCGGTAAGTTAGACTTCAGGTAAGTTGAAGTAGGCGGCCTCCTTACCAACATTTCTATTTTTTCAGGAGGTTCAAGTACCTTGCATTTTGATAGGCGTGTTATACCGCAATACGTTAAACAATAATAAAGATAAGAATAATCTTTCGATACAAATAAGCAATATTTCTAAATACCATAAAATAAAAATGCATACAGCAGTTATTAAAGTATATTTAACTGCTTATCCTAATCTCCCACCAATTAAACCCCTATAACCACCATTTACTTAGAACAAATGCTGGAACTAGGGTTTATATGAGGTGCATTACTTAATATATTGCTACTATAAGGGCGATACAATTCTTCAGTAACAGGAAC